ATGGTAGTGAGTTCTTTAGTAATGAGTTCAAACAATTGTTGTCTAATCTTGGTATATTTCATCAGAGTTCATGTGTTTACACACCTCAACAAAATGGAATTGTTGAGAGGAAACACAGAACAATTCTGGACATGGCTAGGTCTCTTAGATTTCAAGCTTCTATTCCTCTCAGGTTCTGGGGTGGATGTGTTACCACAACAATCTACCTCATTAACAGGCTGCCCTCTAGAATCCTTGGGTACAAATCACCATTTGAGATGTTATACTTACATTCTCCTTCTCTGCAATACTTAAGAGTGTTTGGTTGTCTGTGTTATGCAGCATGTCCCAACATTGTCGACAAGTTCTCCCCAAGAGTTGTCCCTACAGTATTCCTTGGTTACTCTTCCTCTCAAAAAGGTTATGTCTTGTATGACTTGAATGCTAAGTCTTTCTTTGTTAATAGAAATGTTGTGTTTCAGGAGACTATTTTTCCTTTCAAATATGTGTCCTCTTCAGGTAGTACTACTTTTCCTATATTGGATCTACTACCCTCAACTAGTTCAGATCCCAGGCTTTCAGCTGCAGATTCCTCACCTGAAGCTGGTTCTCTTTCACCTGAGCTTAACACTACACCTGAGGGGGACTCATCTCTTAATCATGAAGACAATGTCCTAGCTATTGTAGCACCAAAGGCTTTTTCCCCTGATGCTTCACTTGAGGGTGATCCTGATGCTGCAGAACCTAGCACAATGATTGCGTCAACTGATGTTGCTCCTGCTCAGGTCAGAAAATCTTCCAGGACCAGTAAACCTCCCATTTGGATGCAAGACTATGTGGTACAATCACATGCTGCACAGTGTCCCTATCATATCTCTACTTATGTCAGCTACTCCCATATCACTCCCTCTTATAGTAGAGTTTTGGCTGCTTATTCTGCTAGTTCTGAGCCTCAGTCATTTGCTGAGGCAGTTACAGATCCTCAATGGGTAGAGGCTATGAGGTTGGAGATAGCAGCATTAGAGGAGAATGAAACCTAGAGTATAGTTGATTTACATCCTGGCAAAACTCCTATTAGTTGCAGATGGATATTCAAGATCAAGTATAAGGCTTCAGGAGAGGTTGAAAGATACAAGGCCAGACTGGTTGCCCAGGGTTACAGTCAAAAGGAAGGTTTAGACTACAGTGAAACCTTCTCTCCTGTGGCAAAAATGGTCACAGTTAGATCAATTATGGCCCTTACTGCTTCTCAGCACTGGATGATTTATCAGATGGATATTCATAATGCATTTCTCAATGGTGATCTGGTTGAAGATATGTATATGCATATTCCACAAGGGTTTGCAAGCCAGGGGGCTAAGAAGGTTTGCAAACTTCACAAGTCATTATATGGGCTTAAACAAGCACCAAGACAGTGGAATATGAAGCTGACAGAAGTTCTATTGCAGATAGGGTTCAAGCAGAGTCACTATGACTATTCATTATTCATCAAAGAGGCCAATGGTGTCACACATGGAAGCTGCCCTCAGAGTAGTCAGATACATCAAACAAACACCAGGCCTGGGGCTGCTTATGCCTGTAGAAAGTGTAGACAAACTGACTGCCTATTGTGATTCTGATTGGGGATCTTGTATAGAGTCAAGGAGATCAGTAACTGGACACCTGGTTAAGTTTGGAAATGCACTGGTGTCTTGGAAATCAAAGAAGCAAATGACTGTGTCCAGAAGTTCAGCTGAGGCAAAGTTCAAGAGTATGGCTTCATGTGCAGCAGAGGTCACTTGGTTGATAGGGTTATTTAAGAAACTTGGAGTGAAAGATTCAACAGCCTACAAGCTTGATATGTGACAGCAAAGCTGCTATTCAGATAGCAGCTAACCCTATCTTCCATGAAAGAACTAAACATATTGACATTGACTGTCATTTTGTTAGAGAAAAAATCTGTGAAGGATTGCTGAAGACAAAGTAAGTGCATACTAAAGACCAGCTAGCTGATCTGCTTACAAAGAGTTTAGGGAAGTAGCAACATGATCAGTTGCTGAATCAGTTAGGAGTGAAGAATGTGTATAAACCATCAGCTTGAGGGGGACTGTTGACTAGAGTTAGTTAATCAAGTTGATAAGTTAATTATGTAACTACAGTTAGGTGGTTAGTTAGTTAGCACAGTAATTAGAAGTTAGTTATATAGATATAAGAACATATTGTACACTCTGAAAACATACACTTGTATCACTTCTACTTTCTTCTTCTAAAAAACAGAGATTTGTTTCTCTCAAGTGTGGATTCATTTGCATGTCTTCTTCATTATCAATCTCTAGATCCATGGCAGCTAACAAAAGAAATGCACCGAGAAATAGAATGTAGCCCCAAATTGGAAGGATAAAAGAGATCAAAGATAGAGATGTCCAAAAGTGAAAGTGTGGAAAAAGATATTACACGATATCTAAAACGATTGGCCTAAATTAACCAACAAACCAGAAGTCCCAATCTCCTGAACATTACCTAGCTAGATATTTCTTGCATGGTGGCAATATATATTAATAGAAGGCCACCTGCTTAGCAAGTTTCCAATAAAATAGTTCATTAATTAATACTCCTCTTATCACGTCAGATAAAACAATTGAAACCAAAAAAAATAAAACTTTCACTAAACAAAGTAATGGAAGCAGAAGATACTCTAACACACGGGAACACTGAACCTTCAAATAAGAAGAGTAAAGATGGTAAAAGATTTACTGATGAACAAGTCAAGTTGCTTGAGTCCATGTTTAAACAAGAGATAAAGCTTGAACCAAGGAAGAAGCTTGAGCTGGCAAGAGATCTTGGGCTGCAACCTCGTCAAGTAGCTATTTGGTTTCAAAACAGAAGGGCTAGATGGAAATCGAAGCAAATGGAGCACGAATACAGACTACTCAAAGCGGAATTTGACAAGCTAAATATGCAATTTCAATCATTGAAGCAAGAAAAGGAATCTTTGCTCAAGCAGGTATCTCATTAGTTATTGCTCCCTATCTTCCATCTTACGTGCCCTATTTCCTCCTCTCTTTTTTTTGGTCTAAAAAAGAATAGCTGATACTCTTTAACTCAAAACTTCTCATTTTACATTCCATACTATGCTCTTCCATTCCATAGAGACATTATGTTTAAGACCACAAGTTCTAACATTACTTTTGGTATGCATCAAATTCTTTTTATTTTTTAAAGTTCGTGTCAAGTAAAATACATCATATAAAATGAAAATAGAGAGAATAATTTCTCTCTCTTGCGTTTTCTCAAAGTCATTAGTCATTCCTTACTTATCAATGCTTAAATAACGTTTGATTCTTAAACAGTTAGAGGAACTAAATGATCAGCTGGAAAACAACCATGCTGGTTGCAGCAGAGGCCAAGATTCACTAGACAGCAAAATCTACACATGCTCTGAAAATGGAGGTACTGACTTAGAGTTGAAGGACAATATCTCTGGTTGTTTAAATGCAAGTGTAGAAGGCAAGAAAGTTAATGAAGTGGAAAATGACAGAGAAGGAAGATTAATCGAACATTTCAGATGGAAGGAAGAACCAGAGTTTTGGAACATGGAAGAATTAGGTGACAGTTCCTTAGGATCACCTGGACACTGGTGTGCCGTAGGCCTAGGTCGTACCTTCGACCTGTCATGTGGCAATTCCAAGTGGTGGGAATTTTGAACTCCACAAATACAATAAAGCTTTTCAAAGGAATCAGCAGTGACCCAAGTTTGATCAATAGAAAAGTTTTTTCTTTCTTTTTTCACATTGTTAGAGACAAGGTTGTGTGCAGGAATAGAAGGAAGAACTTTTTCCCAGTTGCTTTTTTCCATTGTGCTGAGAATCCGAAAGGAGTTTGCCAAAAATTGATTTGCAAGGAGAACTAGCAGCATGAACAGCGAAGGCTTTGCATGTGATTCGGGATGCATGAACAAGGGATATACTTGCCTTATTTTTTGAAATGTTCCACTGATGTTTCTTTCTTCTTCTTCTTCTTTTATTTTATTTTGGGGGGGGGGAGGNTAGCTTGTAATTTATTTCAAAAGAAAGAGAAACTATGTCAATTGGGCTTCTTCGTGTGACCACAATAAAATAAATTGAATATACTCAGTATCCAAATTGCCTTTCACTCTGTTGTATGGAAGTTAAAGTTTAGTGAATGAAGCTTCAAGCAATCAAGGAAATAAAAGCCAAACATTAACATATAGCACTACCGGAACAGAGTTGCATATACCTTTTACTCGCATGAAGTTCCACCAAGCTGTATGGTGGGTAAGTTTTCCCTTTTCTTGGGCTTTATGCCGCACAAATCCATATTAGTCAAAATTGGCTCCTGATTACGTAAAGCTATGAAAAATGAGTCTTTTTCTTTTCCTTTTTAAACTGATTCTTAGAGCTAGAGGCAGCAAAAGAATGCCTTAATCTAATAGGAAAACAGTTGTAATTGTTGCTGAAGAAATGGAACTAGAAATGGGATCCAGCAAGCATTAAGTTATGGAAGATTACTTCTCTTTCGGTGAAAATTTGGGGTTAAAAGCATCAAGTGAGTTCATGGTTTATAAAAGCTTCCCCAGTATTTCTATTCATCTTCTAGATCTCTTTCTATCCAAAGCCGTCTAAAAGCCAATGTACCCCCCTCCCCAGGCTAAAATGTTGCCAGAAATGGTTACTCCCCAAGTGTGGTTGCCATTTGGAAAGTCAAGCATCTTTTATCTGAGGCCTCTCATGGAAAGTCAAGCATCTTTTATTTGAGGCCTCGTGAGACTTTGCCGACAACCACACCATGAGCCTCATCATGAGGCAGCCATCATAAGGCAATGGATGTGCATAGGGATGATTATATAGCCAAGGCATAGAGGCAACACTACTGTAGTTGGTAAAAAAAAACACTCCAATGACAGTTGTTAGTCCATGCATACTTGATAAGTAAGGAAATTCTATGATCAACTTAAGTTAAGCGTCAAAACGGGTGGTTTCATGTATACCGCTGCTTATAACTGAAAAAGAAGCAACTGATGACGAGCTTCAAAGCATATGGCTTGAACTAACCAACTATTTTGCAGTCGATCAAACTCAGTTAAGTAGATTAAAAAGTAAAGCAAACGGGTAAAATTTTACAATTTATGTATATAGTGAAACAGACGCCGAAGGACAGACCAAAGTCAACAAGCAAATAAAAAACAAAAAAGTGCCAAATTATAAATCGTCTTGACAGCAAATGCAACCACCTGTTTACTTGATCTTCTTTTTTGGCCTCAACTGCAATAAAAGTAGGAAACAGAAGGACCATTTAGTAGAGTCCAGTAACACACAACGTTTCACAAGATTGACCAAGAACATACCTGGTTGCTATGGCCACACTTCTTTTTCCTGCAGTTGACAGCACGAGGGTGCAAACGGGCATAGCATCTGCAGCAAAAGA